CAAGAATATTTCCTTGTATACCGTAGTCCATAAGTTTTTCTACTATATAATACCGCCACGCTGTATCGAATGCTGTATTTGTATCTAAGAAAAGAGCTAGTACTTGTTGATTACTGGCGAAGGCCTCGGGAATTTCAGATTCGAAAGTTACTAAATTATCGGTTGTACTTCGATTTTTACGAAAACCGCTTTGGAATGGGGATAATAAGCTATTATTCTCTAGAAACCATACCAATCTCTTATTTGCATTTTTCTCTAGAAGTTTACACATACTGCAGGTTAGGAGATAGGGCGGTACTATAGAGGGTTAGGACCATACTTTAGGGAAAACTTTGTGGACAAAAACGGTATTAAATATGTCTAATAAAATTAATTTACCAGAAAAAGGTAATTTTTGCAGAAAAATAATTGGTATATCATCTGGGCCGGGTGTGGTGTTTTTGGACTGACTAAGGCATTCATCTATGATAACATGATGGATGTTTTATAAGTAAGAAAGTGAGTTGTTTTCATAAACGTCTGCTAGGATTTTTGGTATTTCACTATTTGAAGAAGTAGTTTTGTTATTGTGCACAAGGGTATCTATTTCTTGAAATGAATTAGAGCCTTTAATTTTTTTAAATTTAATTCCAAATGGTACTAATAGGTGTAGATGAATTAATAGATGATACATAGTTTGCAAGTTTACTTATTGTAATTCTTGACATTTAAATAAATTATAACTTTAAATCATTATATTTGATATAATTATATTTAATAATTAATTTTTTTTTAATTTTTATAAAGTAATTTCAAAATATTTGTTTTACCTTAAAATCAAAAATACATTTTGCCATTTTTATTAATATTACTTTATAGCCATTTATTTCTAAAAAAAGTGGGGTCAAACTAATAAAGAAAAAGAATATTACACATAGAACACTATAGGTAAGTCAAAGTAAAAGTAAAGTAAAATTTATTGTCTGATTTTTAAATTTAAATTTATTTTTTATATATTTTTAAGAAAAATATTAAAAACTATGCAAATTTCTAAACTAAAAATAATTATTAAATGAGCAACTAAATGTGGTACAATATTTTTGTTGCAAAAAATATAAAAGTATATCCCTTTACTTATGGGTAAATAAATACACTTCTACTACTATTATAAAAGTATAAACAAAAGTGCTATTTTATTTCCAGAAGTCCCAGAAGCCAACTGAATTGGTAGAAACGAACCGCGGGCTTAAAGTGCCCTCCGAAGGACTACAATAAATAATATTTAAAAAATAAAAATATGGATTTATATCTAATTTAAATAGTTTATAAATATACATTACTCTCAGATTACCTTGACATCTATTAACTACCTACGCTATTAAAAAGTAAACAAATAAAAAAAATCATTAAAAATTGACACACAAAACTTCAGTCTGATTCAGCTTGCCGTTCTAAGAAACTAAGTGGAGGCATTATTTAAAATGTCCACTTAATCCTTTTTGAAAGATGACTGGGATATTGTCGGACATATTGGAAAACTGTCTTCATATAGAAGTTCCAATCTGATTTTTAAGACTTTAACAAACATTTCACAATGAATTAAATTAGAGTTTGAGATATAAAAAAGCAAGTTTAGATTTTTACGTTAAATGGAATTTTATTTGATATTTATATAACATATTAACAAATATGATTTAAAATAAACCCCCTTATTAAAATTTACCTTAGTTTTATTAAGCTATTTAATTAATTATTTTTAAATTAACTTGATATTTCTATATTATATTACTTTATATATTTCTATTCTATTTTATACTTATAAAGCAAATACTCCAGTAAGAAATTGGCATTTAATAAAAACCCTTTTATAGTGAAAAAGCGAACGCAAAACTAAACTTATAATATTTTACTCGCCTTTAAAAGCATCCCTAAAAATTACCATGGTTTTATTACATTTAAAAAGCATTAAAAAGCAAGTGTGACAAAGTGTTGTTCATGAAATTGATCGTAATATTCGATTTTTAATTTATACAAAAAACGAATTGTGACCATGCTTTTAGTGCGCTGGCTGTTACGTTCTCAAATGCGATCATTATAATTTTTGTCAGGTTGATAAATGAGTCCCACAACCTCCTTAGCCCAACTGGGGCCACTATCATAATGGCACTCTATTTAAGTAGGACTACCTTCCCAAATAAAAAATAAATGCTTGTTTGATTGATCTATGGATAAATTCATGCCGTCAAGAAAAAGGTCTAAAGGAGTCAAATCTGCCAATCCAAAGCTCATCTTCGTCCAATTCATTGTCTAGAAAGCAATCGGTCCAAAAAATCCCAAACGCGCAGAGCAGCGTGAGAATGCTCCATCTTCTTGGTACATTAAATTAAAATTATAATTATCTCCCAAGTTGCAATCATTGTTTTCAACAATAACGACCAAATACATTTCTCCAGTTAGAATGTGTGCTACCACTGGTTGCAAACCAGACGACCTCCCAAAAATCCAGTGAACTAAATAAGTTTATGATATCCAAGGATCCGTTAAATGGTCTTTATATACAATGTTAGTAACCGTAGGTAATTTTCTTGTGCTTAAAGTTGGGTTGGCATCAACTATCTTAACTTCCACTCAGCAGCTTTATTCCTATCTAATCGGACATTCATTTTCAGATTCACTACTTATTCTGTTCCTTGCAACTCCAAAACAAATTTTCTATTCACATACCCTGCTGCACGATTTACCCACAAACCATTTAAAAAAGAACTCTTCCCGCAATACATGAGTTTGTAGTTTGTTATTTTTATTTTGTAAAATTTTAACATAATTTTTTGTAGAAAACCAGGATTTGTAATTAATTTGTATTAATTTGTATATTAACAAAGAAAAATATTTTACAGAAAGTTTTGTAAAGGTAATGTGCAATTTTGTAAGCACTTTGTTGATTTCAAAGGTTATATATTATTTTTTTAATTTTTAACAAATTATTTCGTTGAAAAAGTACACGTGATTTCAAGCAGTCAATCAAAACATTTCCCACTGACAATACGCATCAACTTTATTCTAATTCGTAACGTTTATATATGTTTGTAATATATTATCAGAAATCTGTTATTATTGTTATTCAGATTTTTATACCTATTTAACAAGTATGCGAAGTGCGAAGTATCCGGAAAAAGATGCTATCACTGGTTTTTAAACTAAAATTAGGGGATTAAAGTTACGAATTACATCAGTAAGTGTTATAGTAGTACTGATAATTATATTGTACCAAATTTCTTTATAATTTCATGATTTCAGAATTGTGTGTTATTTTATTGAGTGTTATTTTATTGTGTGTATGATATTGTTGTTTTCTATTATGTAGGTAAGTGATAACTTTTTTGTTTAGGAAATTAATTAATAAAGCATTTCTTATCACAGTAAATTCTTTTTTTTTTCATATGCATGTATAGAGATAGTTGAAGTACGTCTTTTTCATTAGCGACAGACAAAAAACTCAAAAAAGCCTAGGGATAGAAGTAAATCCATAGGTGACTCAATAGACGTCATATAATAAAATTAATTTAGCATTTCATACAAAGCATGTATTAATTATGTATTAATTATATTAATTATAATCGCACGGAATATTTAGTGATTATTTATTAAATTTTAATTGAACGAAATAAAGAACAACTAGTTTATTAGTATAATATTATGATGATAGACGAGTCGCCAATGTCGGAACTCCAAACAAATGTCAGTACGTCAAAATTAATTCAAGCGCAGCATTTTGACAGAGCAGTGTTTATTTTTAGTTTAGGATATTTATCGGCATTGTAAGTAAGGGTTATAAGTTTTTTTAGTTTTTACCAATAATTTGTAATGCTTTTAGCCAAAATTTTATACCACATGAGTTATAAGTAAATAAAATAATTATATTGCTTATCCTATTTATATTACGCCCTTGAAAAAAAAATTGTATTTGTTATTTGGAGTAGAAGCTCTTTTTGTGCTTCGTACAGTTGCCTGCCTTAGCTACGCTTCGGCCGTCAATCTCTGTACTCACCACAACTCACCACAACTCACCACTACTCCTTATGACATAATCTACTATTGTCACTGGGTCCACAAAAAGGTTTGTAAAAATAAGGCATTTTTGAAATTTACTAAAATTATGGTGAATTATAATTATTTATGTAGAATTTTATTATAAGATGATCTTATTAAGATCTACAAGATGTTTGTTATGATTACAAACTACGTATTCAATTAGTTACCTGATTACAGTTGGTTGTAAATTTAACAAAAAGTTAAGCGGAACTGAATTAACATAAAATCTGGTTAACATTAACAAATATTTTTTTACTGTGTTAGAGACTTATGTTTTTTCTCATAGTTTGACAGTTTTTAAAAAAAGTGCGCTATTGCAATTTTAAATTTCTCGAAAATGAATGGTAAATTTTTTTAATTTTTTGTATAATAATTAAAGACCTCTTAAAATGCTATTTATTTAATTTAATCACCGTACAAAGGGGTAAAGTAAAATTCATTGTAAAATATGCCCCCCCCCTCGAAACTAAAATTGACGTACCTTTGCGTTTTTTTTTATCATAAATTTTATTAAATATGCTATTAAACCCATTTTGCATTTTTTCTTTCAACCGAAGTTGTTTTATATTCCCTACATTTTTATGTAAAGTTGAACTTTTTAAATGTAATATTTCCTTTATTTCATTAAAGTAAGACTCAATTATACACGATTAAATTAAAGCATATTAAATTTACTTGGCAGGCAAATAAATTCAACGACGCTCACCCTCTTATAAAACCTGTGACACCTGACAAAATAGGGGTCTCAAGACGAATTTAATTCCTTTGGGTGTATGCTGATACGTCAAGGGGAAGACGAAGATATATACTATATTTATGTGCGAACATAAAAAATATCCACCTATACAAAAGGAATCCTTATGCAAGGGATAAGCGCTTTGAAATCCCGCATTTATGCGGATTTTCGAATATACTAAAAAAATACTTACAGGTACACCTCCAACGCCGATGACATAGAGAAGCTGCGACATAAAAAGGGCAGCCAGCAGATTCATTAAAGTTGTCCCAGATAGGTTTCTCAGATCAGAAAATAGACTGGAAATAAAAATAATTGAAGGTAAAGCAAAGTAAATAAATATTTTAACATGTTTTAATTAATTGAGGCTTATTGCATCTTTTTGAAGTTAAAGGTTTAAAGTACTTGAATATAAGCATAAGATAATTTTTTGTTAATACAACTTTTAACTGTCCAACATTTTAGTCACTTACAAATTAAAAAAGACTACTGAAACAGAACTCAAAAAAAAAACAAAATAGTCAATATTAAAAAATAACAAAAATAATTTTAATTTATAAAAAAACCAGTGGCGGCTGGTGGATTTTGGGTATACCGATATCTCAATTATTAGATATTGGACCCACACCAAATTTATATGAGTTTATAATGACATTAAATAAACAAGTTCTGCCCAAGCAGAGTTTAAATTGAAGTGTGCGAAAAAAAGATAATTTTTACTCGGCCGTACCCAATAAATATAATATAAATTTAATTGGTGCAATTTATTATTTACCATAGTTTATCGACAAATATAAATTTTATTAAAAAAATCCGGAGTGTGTTGCGATTTGCCTACCATTTAGTTGCAGGGATTTAAAAACAAATCGATTTTTTTTTTATTAAAGTAAGGTCATTAGTAAAATAATAAAAGTTCCTACTACTATAAGAAAAAATTGAACCTACACCTCGCCAAAGTTTTTTTTGTTTTGAGTGCGTTCCACCAACTTCAAATAACGACAGACAGCTGTTTCGACTTATATTGGGTTTCATCAGTGTAGGGCAACTTGGTGTAGTGGATTTTTTCTTATGAATATTACCAGTAATGGGTCAAGAAAGTTTCTTGAAGAAACTAAGAAAATTGAAAGTTCCTACTATGTTTCTTATTTCAGAAAAGCATTTATAAATTTATATGCACTTTAGGCACTGTCTTAAAACGAAGTAGTCAAAATTCTATTATTTGAATAAGTACCAGCAGTGTTTTAAATAGTTATTTTTTACTACTTAAATAGTTAAAGTTTGACAAATTTAAGATAAGTCACCATCTTAAAAATTATTTAAGTCAATTTTTATTTGTTTTCTTTTTTCTTTCATAAAAGAAGTTGATGTCTAATGATAATAGATAAGGAATATTACTCCAACATTTATTTTAATTGTTATTATTGCAAATTTATTGAATTATATAAAAAAATTATAATAATAAAAAACCTTGTAAATGAATGTTAATAAATCTTTTTTTTAATAATTGTACACCACTTTATTAATTCATTTTTTAGATGAATTTAAAGTTATATTTAGCTGAGTTGACATTCTTAAGAGTTGACTTGAATTAACATTTATAACTAACGGGTGACCAATTTCCTGATTTTGAAAAAAACTCCTTTTTTACAATAAACTCCATGGAATTTCCTGGTTTTCCACAAAATGGCCACCCTTTGTATTTTCTATAAATTTTAACACAAAAGGTTTGTTTTATATTTTTACATGATTGATTTTAAATGGAAAATGTTAAATACACATACATTATCAATACAATGCAGATTTACTTGAAGCATTAAAAATAAATATTTATTTATTAATTTAACCAATCAAAAATATTTATTAAAATAAATAAATATTACATGATTGATTTTAAATGGAAAACGTTAAATACACATACATTATCAAAATACAATGCAGATTTACTTGAAGCATTTATAATAAATATTTATTTATTAATTTAACCAATCAAAAATATTTATTAAAATAAATAAATATTAAATAAACGTTACAGTAACGTCGTTACTTAACTATTATTTAAACAGAAATTAATTAAAATGTTCCAGGATATTAAACAAAACAAATGATTTTAATATTGACTGCTTTTTAAATACAAATATGTTAACATATTTATAATTGGCCTTTAAATAACAATATTTACACAACATGTATTTTTAATTTTTGAAGTAGTAAAAAGTTTAAATTATAAAAAATATAACAATACATTTAAAAAACAAATTAAAAAGTTCGCTGAGAGTTTCAAAATAAGTTTAAAATATACAACTTTTTTGTTCTTATTCTAATAATAGCTGTATCCATTTTTTCTTTCGATTCCTTGTGGAAATTTTTGTGGGTTATATACAAAAACCTTTTCCTACATTAAAACAGTGGCGGATTATGAATTTTGGGAAGCAGAATTTAAATTGATGTTTGCGAAAAAAGTTAATTTTCCAGCGCGCCTCACCAGCCCTGCCACCCCTAATTAAGATTTTTTAAATGTAAGTGGTGTAATTCATAACTCACTAAATTACCTATATCGGCAAATTTTAAAATTTATTAAAAAATCCAAGAATAACAGATTTTATACCATTTTAAATTTTATTATTCTTTTAACCAAAATTTAAAAAAAAAAATAAAAATGGTATAAAATAAATTTTAAAATTTGTCAATAAACTTTAGTGAATTATAATTATGAATGTACCACTTAAATTTAAGTAATCTTAATAAGTCACCAAAATTAACTTTTTTAAAATTAAAATTGAGATATCGGGATACCAAAAATCCACAATCAGCCACTGCATTAAAAATTGAAATTTAAATATTTTGTAGAATTCAAAGCAGATCTAAAATTTTCCGATGCTATGTAAATACAAATCTCCGGAGGCAATGTGAATTTGAATCAAATAGTTTGAGCCAACAAAATCAGAATGGAATGCTTGTGGGTTATTAGTGTAATAAAGTGCTACACACTGCTGCAATTGTTAAATTATTTTGCTTTGTACTTCATCAGTTTGTTTAAGGTCGACAGTTTGTTTTGACCTTTGCCACCAAAGCTTTTCTGATGGTACGATAATTATTTGAATAAACAGAAAATAAAAAAGTAATCACATTGAATTTTTTTTATGATAGACTACAATTGTATCGTAGATATATTTTGTCGTTTACTATTTTAAATGCAGTCTTCGGCGTTTTTTTTTGAAGAATCAAATATAAATATGTTTGATTTTAAAGTTATGTTATTACGTAAATTTATAACTAGTTAATTCTGCACACACATATTTACGTTTCGAATTTAATCTTTTGGCAAAAAATTAAAATGCAACGATTTAGTTATTAAATTACGTTTTCATTTAAAAACACAATAATTCACCATTATCACTTAGATGAAATACATAAACGTAACTACATGAGCATGTAAGCATTGAGTTCCTTAATCAATGATATAAGAAATAATAAATCGAAATCGAATACTAAACTAAAGTTTTGCAGTTTTTACTTGCAACGCAAAACACAAATAACGTGCGCGATTGAAACTTTGCAAACAAAATTTGTCGATTATTCGGTATTTAATAAAATATTGAGTTTTCCTCATTGACATTTTTTTTAAATTTGCCACGTACTAAGTAAGTAGACTATCTATAAATCAGTGCATAGAAAACCCGGAAAGATTAACTACATCAATACGAACAGCACTCAACTCGGAGAAATATTTCAGTGGTTTTCAGTGGTGGTTTTATTCAGAAATAATCCTTGAGCTTGATTTATAGCCAATCTGTTGCTTTATATTTCCTTGTTCTTGTTTGTAAATCTAGCAAACATATCCCATTTTTCATTTCCTTTTACATTTAATATTTATTAGAAATGTAACCACGTAATACAATAAAAGCTTTTTTAACCCATGTATGTAAAAAAGCAATAATATAGAACGATAATATTATACATGAGAATATTTTTATAATAAGACATTTAAAATCAATTTAAAAAATGGTTTCGAAAATGTTTAAAAAATATATAAATGACCAAAAACTGAAGAAATCATATCTGCCTTAAAAAATACATATCCTAGACTATGACATGTATTTCATACTTATACAATTCATTTTGCAAACGTGAAATCCGTCAAAATTAAGTTTTTCGTAATGATTTAAAGTAAGTCAAAACAATAAAATTATTTAGTATATTTTGCCAGTTTAAATTTTGTTAAAAATACCCCTAGTATTAGATTTTGTTTTGGGATTAATAAGTTTATTTATGAAAAACTTAAACCTTTACATATAAAAACACACACACAAATTTCTATTATTATGAAAAGTAAACAAATTGTAAAATAATAAATTATTTATTATTATCTATAGATAAACATCTTATCTTTTAAAAAAATATTTAGAAGTTTAAAAGTTGCAAAAATTTAAACATTTAAACTTAAATAATTTTAAAGAAATCTCCAAAACTGCTGAATCGATTTTGAGAAGACTAAATACTAAATATTTTAGAACAACAAAACATATCATATTAACAAAAAAAATTGTATAAAAATAATATAAGTTAATATGTTCTAAAACAGATATTTTGGACCATAAAACTAAACAAAGGCTTTTAATTAAAAAACATATATTTAAATAAAATTATTTTTCTACTCCCACCTTTAAAACGCCCATTATCGTACACGTTTCCATGACAACAAGTGACCTTTTAAATACACATTAAAAAGTTGTGGCTTTATAGCGTTTTAGTCACGGGCTAAAATTAGCAACAGGTGTTTAGTCACGCGCTGAAGTATTAATTTAGTTGACAGTTGTCAAATGTTATACAATCGTTAAAATAAAGTGCCTTTCTTGTAAAATAATACCGTTGAGTGAATCAATGATAATACTAAATGTGAAAATTATTTAAATATACAAATACAAAAATACAGAAGTAATAAATAGTTTATCAACGCCAATATTTGAATAGTTTATATGAACATTGTACTGACCTTTTAATTTCGCCGGCACTTAACTATAACTCTAAGGGCCGCGGCCGGCCGGTTTATCAATGTCCAACTAAAAGTTGCGGTTAAGTATCTTACAGTTACCTTTATCTGACAGTTATCCGAATATAAGTGTTTTTCTTCACCTCGTACGGTTCCAGTTTCTCATCTGCCAGTTTATTAATTCGGCAATTGGCAACACTGTCAAGATACATTTTAATTGGTTAAATTTAAATTTATAGAATAAAACACATAACCTCAAACGAATCTTATTTTGTGTATATTATTATTTATTTATTTTATTTTTTGTTA